AAAAAAAAGAAAAAAAGCTGTCGATTGCCCTCTGTTTGGCTCAGTTTTTTTTTTTCCTTTGTTTGAGAAAACTGGAGGGGAGGAAAGCGAATATGTGACAAAGATTGCCAGGCGAATATTGAATAATAAAATGACTTTATTACCCTTTTCTCCTTTCATTAGAAGTTAAAAAAGTACGTCAACTTATGCAGCCAATCATGTACTTTCACCTTTTTCACTTTTTGTTTTTATTTTTTCAATTATTAAACATTTTTAAGTCAAAAAAACTATTACACATTTTTTATATTCTCGGAAAAAGAAGGAAAATTATGGAATTGCAAGGAAAATTTTGAAAAGTAAGAATTTATTTATTTTTTCTTGCAAATTAAGCAAGAATAAAATTCAGAGTTGGTTGAGAAGCTTACAACTAACTTGACTTGAAAATAACCATACCAATTTGTTTTATGTTATAACTAATAATATAAAATTTCATTTGTCAAAACATTAATAAATATGTCAACAATCATGAAATTTATTAGTTGAATGCTAAGTTTTAATTTTAATAATAATAATTTTATATAAATAAAACTCGTATAAACTCATATAAAAAATAAAATTAAATATGTAAAATATTGAAAACATTGATTTTATAAAAATTTTCAAAAAGAGTTTTAATTTATTTACGTGTCGATCATAATTAATTTATAATGAGTCAATCACTATTATATTTTAATTGAATATGTTATTTAAGAAATGATTACAAATTTTTAGTTTATATATTAAAACATTTATATTTAAAATTTAAATTTAATTGATTTATTTAATTATCATTAAAAGATAAAATTTAATAAATTTGAGATTTTAATTTCAATATTTATAAAATAATTTTTTTATCTCCAAACTACGCTTTGCTTTATGCAAAAATATATGTTCAAATTAGTGAAGTTTTATGTACATAATTTTTCTTATTAAAATTTGTTTTCATTAATGATTTTAGTAAAGCTAAAAAGGAGGGGAAAAGGAATGGGAAAGATTGGTTGATTCCAAAAGATGACAAATTAATGACAATCGTATTGATTTGCATGTATCTTCCATTTCTTGTGGCATTAAGTGTTGATGGATTTTTGTGGTCTTTATTTAATAATAACATCAAAATTAATTCCCCATACTTATTTTTGTTAACATCTAATGAAATTGACATTAAAATTAAATAATTTTTGTTCATAAAAAAAATAAAACATGTTGCTACTTGCTCCACTAAAAATTAAAACTATATTATCATATTCTATGATAGATGAAATAAAATGAAAAGGACCATTCTTGAAACTTTTATGTGGTTATTAATTTTCAACTTATATAGAAATATATGTCTCCATTCATAGATAAGATTGTGTCCCATTTTCTTGAAATGGTTTGAGCATGATTCAATTAAATTCGTTTTGCAATTTGCAAAAAATAATAGAGAAAAGAAGATGGTTACATCAAACATTTTAAAAGAGAAAATAATTGAGGTGAGAAAAATTTTGAAATTTTTAAAATGATTTAAAATTATAGTATTTGGTTTAATTTGAATTGGTTTTTTATTATTTGGTTTGAATTAGTTTATTTTATTCGATTCGAATTAAATATTAAATTTATATATTAAGTTTGATTTGATTTTCGGATTAAGATGTAAAAAAATAAAAAAATTGATTAAAATTGAATTATATATTTTTTAATTTTTATAAAATAAAATAATTATTTTATACATAAATTATTTAAAATATCATATTATATAGAAAAATAAAAAATTAAATTTTAAAAATAAATAAATCAAACTAAATTTATAAAATTTAATTCAAATAAGATTATTTTAAAAAATTAATTTAAATTCGGATAAAATTTTAAAAATTTATAATATTATATATTATTTGAAAAATCAAATATAATCCAATTTAAATTGTTATTATTTTTAATAAATAATATATTTCGATCTTACATTGAATAATTAAACATATAAATGTGGGCATTAAAAAATATTAAACATATAAATATTGGGTTACATATTCTAATAATTTGATTTTGGCAAAAAAAAAAAAAAAAGAGATAATGATCACACAACACAGGCGTTAGTATAATTCTGTAGGTAACGAACCGTGAGGAAAGAAAAGCTGGCTAAGCAGCTGCTCTTTATCCTCTAAAGGGAAGAGTAACAAAGTAGAAACTTTGGGCTCCATCTATCACTTGTCATGTGGGCGGCCGTGCCTCATTGCCTCTCAATTCTCTGACCAATCATCCAATCATTTCTCCGTTTTCCTAAACCTTCATGTGCTGCCATTACCTTTGCCAAACTTAAAGCCTTTTTTTTTTTCTCTATTTTAATTAATCTCCTTTTTGTTATGTACTTTTAAAAGTAAACAAAATTAATTTTTTTTGAAATTTTAATATAATAAAAAATATATATATAAATAATTTTTAATTTTTTTTTCCTAAGCAACTTGAAAAAGCCCATTACTTTTTGTTTTTACTTTCTATAAAAATTAAATCCAAGGAAATTTAAGGGAAAAGAAAATATTCACGTGGAACTTGGTGTTCTTCACGGGAAAGTATTGTTGAGAGGAATTTTCAAGTTTGTTTATATATTTATCTAAATTTATATGTAAAAGCTAATTACATGGTAAATTTCTATTATACGTTTATTTATTTACTTGTCATTTGCTTAATAAGAACTTGACACTTGGCATGTATCTTTAAAAAAAAAAATCTTTTAAGGTTACATAAATAAATATATAAATTTTGCTTGATGTGGACTCCACTTCTCTTTTTAATTTATAATATGCTTATATAAAATTATTCAAAATAAAATTAAAAAAAATCATATAAATTTATAGTATTAGATTAAATGATTTGCATATTGATATGATTTTTGAAAATTACAAATTTAAAAAAATTTAAATGTGTAATATGCTTTTACAAGTTAAATAGATGGAGATCGAAGGATTAAAAGTAAATTAAAAATAAAAAAATATATCGCATAAAATTTGATATTTGTTAATAATAATTGAATCAAATTTTTTTAATAAATTATAATTTAATTTTAAAACATTATATTTGATTTTGATTTCAAAATTACGTTCCTATCATTAAAAGAAATCTTGGAAAGTAACATTTTTTATATCATGAACATTACTAATGCTAATACACATTTTATCATATAAATTATGATATTTATTATTAATAATTAAGTCATGTCTTTTAATAAAATATTTTATTTTTAAGATTACAATTTAAATAAGAATTTTATTTTACAATTATGTTGTATCATTAAAAGAATTTAACAACATAAAAATTCATATAGTAGCAATATAATAAAATATAAATCATTTTAAAAAATAAAATGCAAATTAATTATATTTGCAAAAAAATTCGTAATATATAATTTATAAATAATTATTTTTAATATATTTAATTTTTATAATAAATAATATTCATAATAAATGCATAACAATTACACTTCCTTTAAAAGGGGGAAAATTAAAAAACAAGGAATGGAACATGAGTGTAATTGTGGTGGGGAGTCATCAAACCATATATGATTAGGTTAACGTGAAAAATCAAATTAATAACTCTTATTTTTATCAAATTGGCATTGCATGTAAAATCAAAAGTCACAATCCACCACTCATTCTTTTGGCTGCAAAAAGATGTTTCCTCTATTTCAAATAAATTTAATTTATGCATAATTTAATCATTGTGTATTTATATTATAAAAATATTAATAATTTATATATTTATATTATATTTTGTATAAAAATTATGTCGTAATATATATTTATATGAAAATATGAATATATATTTTTAATTTTATTAAATTTATATATAATTTTTATTATAATTTTAAATTATTATTTTCATAAATTTTTTAATATAATCTTTATATCGTATTTTATATTATCAAATTTTGTTACTATCTTTTTTATTTGTTACTGATTTTTTGCCAAAGTCTCTTCATATTTTATTCTTATTTAATTTTTGTTCATAAAACTTTAACAAATTAATTTTGAAAATATTCACCCATAACTGTGTGCATATATTTATTTATTTATTTTTCTCTAATTTTTTTTAATTTTGTAAAAAATAATAATATAATAAATAATTATATAATCTATTAATAAAATATTAAACTTTTAACTTCGATCACTTTAACCCTGATGAATTAGTAGAAAAGCCACTTTAATTATAAAGTAATATTCCAAAGGTTGGATCATGATTTTAGGAAAACATCATTTTCACAGCTGCAACTAACAATTTTGTCCTATTTACGTTACTTTCGAATCTGGGACTGATATTATATTATAATCACATAAAATAACCCCAAAAAACAAGAAAAATTATTTGGCAAATCTTGAATAAGCTTTGGAAGTTCATCCATCGTTATTATTATAATAATAAAATCTTGCATTGGAATATTTTATAAAAAAAAAATTGCATTGGAATATGATTAGTTGTTAAATGCACCCTTTTATATAATTTTCCACACATAATATTCCGTTTTACCTACTTTATCAAACCTAAATGCCAAATTATTCGGTAAAATTTAAAAATTCTACAAATTATATTTATATTATATATAAAACTTTTAATTAAGTCGGTATGACGAATCAAGTGATATCGGATCATATTATTAATTTATTTAAAAAGAATTAAAAACCACACTTGCCTATTTTTTTTATTTTAAAAACCAATATGCATAATCATTAATTTTTTTCTTTTACACGTCAAGATAACTATGTATTGATTTTTTATTATTTTAGTACTTATCTTAATTATTAAAATTTTAGTATATTTCGCTTGAGTGTTCAAGGGCTAGTATAAAATAATAATCTTTTAAAGTAATTTTCTAAGATGATAATTTTAAACTTCTGAATTTCCTAACGCGGACGGTACGTACGAGTCCTGCACCTTTGGAAACATGTGCACACCGGCCAGTTGGTTGGTAAAGCCAGCTTTAAAGCATTGAAATTCATCTTTGTTGGCAAAAAATAAAATCTTTTGATTTATTTCTTTGACATTTATTGATAATTACTTTGAAACTACAATTGCAAAGGGGGAAGAGCAGATGAATTGGAAAATGGGTGGGTTTATTTAAAGAATTGAAGTCATTTACGCTCGAGGTACAAAATGTTTGAAAGAACAACTTAAGACACAAAATCTTGTTTTGCTTTAGACAAGGGAATCCTTGTCTGAATTTTTAACCTCATGGCCTTCTTTCTCGAGGGCCAGAAATGGTGTTGCATCCTTATCTTTCATCTGAAAAACAAGACATAAAAATCTGTTAAACAAACCTTTCTTGGGAGTTAAAGAGAATTGAAGAGAGGAATATATAATTATATGTATATATGTATACCTGAGACCCCAATGGATCAGGTTGTTTCTTTTTGTTCTCTTGGGCGCAAAAATATGAATACAAACCCATACCAAAAATGGCTATCAAGATTCCAATGATGTTCCTGTCTGTAAAAGGGTCATGCAGAAGCGTATAGCCAAAGGTAAGAACCAGGCAAGTCTTGAGGTGACCAAGAACTTGATATGTGACTGGGGATGTTTTACCAATAACCAGAAATGTGCTAAAGTTGACAGATACAGAAATAATGCATGAAAGGATGATGAATGCCTGCAAATGTTCAAAGGCCATTAGTTAATCAGGAATCTCATTGATAATCTGTGTAATCTGCTGAGGAAATAGAGGTTTGGTTGTGTACCAAGACTATAGGGGAATATTTGTAAGCAAACACATTTTGCTTGGTGAGGAGCTGATCTACCAAAGGACCTGAGACAAAAAGAATAGCTGCTTGAAATGGAGCTGACTGGTACAGCAACTGGGTTGAAGAGACATTGAGCCTCTTCTGTATGGTGTTTGTCAGCTATATCCATCAAGTCAAGAAAAAAAAAAGGTGCTGAAATGCTAGCATTTTCAACTAAACTGGCCAACGTATATCATGGAGCAAGCCCTGAGAATAAATCTTCAAAATTGAATTTTCAAGATCATTTGAGAAGCACTTTTCAATGTTAAATTTCGTTTCTTTGCAATATGGCTCTGAAATATAAATGCTTGATCAGTTCATGCATCCTTAGTTTTTAACAAACCAGGAAACCAATTATAAAAAGTAAGCAATGAGAGTAAAAGGATACAATTTGCCCAACACATGTGGTGACGATGGCAAGGAGAGAAAGGATTGTCCCAACAAAATTGAGTTGGAGATCCGTTACAGAGGCAATGCTAACTCCAACAAGTAAAAGAAAGAGGGACAGCTTTATCTTTTGGCTGCACAGAGTAGAACAAAAAGTTCTGGTTAGCTTTGAATCTCAAAATGCTCAATTATCAGAACTAATGGCTGTGTGAAAATATTAAAAAAAACCTGAATTGCTTTTTTAGGAAGATTGTTTCCAATAATACAGTGAATGGTATGATTGCAAGTTTTGTCATCTGCCAAATAAGGCACCACAAAGAATGAGGACACAACCAATACCTTTGAAATAGATTTCCAATAACATGTAATAATGTTTGTAAAAATGAAGTCCACCTGATAGAATCCAATGGAGTTAAATCCAAGGCTCAAGTTGAGAAGTCCAATGGAAACACCATTGAGGATGCCAAAGAGCATCACAGTCTTCATGTCAATTGATTTATTCTCAAACAGACTGAAGCGTTGCGCCGCATGAAGGGTGCAAAATGTTACCATGAGATGCCAGCTAGTGAGTGTTGTAGCTGCACCAAAAAGGAGAAAGAGGGTTAAAGAAAATCAACTCAATGTTGTAAATAATAGTTTACTCCTCTTCTGATATAATAATGGGGATTGCTGTTTCAAGTAAGGAATAAAAAATTTCTTCTATAAAGAAGGAATGGACAAATTACCAAAAGGGAATCCAAGATTGCTCATCAAAGCTTTGTTGCATATGACAATAGAGACAGATGATGCAACTGAAAGAAACAGGGCACCGATAACACCCAATTGGAAGCTTGACATCTCTCCCATCTTTGGTGAAACAAACAAAATATAATTAAATATCAGAAAAGACAGCTAGTGGATGCTTACTGCTGCACTTAATAAATGCAATTTGATTGATACTAATCGTTATAAAATGTCAAACCAATTGGAAAATGGATCTGAATACTGGTTGGTTAACTGCCAATTGTTGTATGTTGATGTATTGTTCTCTTTGGCACAAAGCTTAAAAATATGCAGTTCATCATATTAGTAGGCAGACTAATCTCAGAAATGGCTTGATTTTAACACAAATTTCTAACAGATAAAACTACTCACAAATGCTTTATTTCTCCAAAGATTTTTCACTCTTATCAGATACAAACAAAACTGGCATAATTATGGAAATAGATTCTTAAAACATTTTTGAACTGTACATTGAAGAAAGCTTTCCAGGGTTGCATGTTTCAGAAGCTAACAAAACACAAGAGTCTATCTTTTACTTCAGATGAAATGGATGTCTATGCAGAAAAGAGAAAGCAAATTTAAGACATATATAAATGTTACCTTGCAAAGAAGTAGATAACTTGGGAGTTTTAGGAGCCCTGAAAAGATTCAAAGAATGAAAACTAAACTTAGTTTAATCAAACAGATTCCACCTTAGAGAAAAAAAAAGGATAATGAGAGTAAACAAAGAGGGAGACCTTTGAAAGAGTACGAGTTAGTTTACAAGATTATTGATAGAGGGCTCCTACAACTCCCATAAAATCACCAGAGAGCAAGTGCCCCAAGTTACAACAAGCAGCAATGGCGAAAATCAACAGTACCCAGGGGGCTAAAGAGGAGACTTGAGAGAGATTTTTGAGCTGCAAAAGCTTGGAGAGAGAGAGAGAGAGAGAGAGAGAGAGAGAGAGAGTTGAATGTGGCTTGTATGAGAATATAGGTTTTTAAGCAGGCTTTTTATGTTAGATTGCTAAGAGGGGTTGGTGCCTAACGCTGTTTCAATTTTTAAGTAGCATTTTTTGTTCTTCCAGAAGGAAGCTAACGATCAATTTAAGCAAGGAGAGACAGTCAAAATTTTAAAAAGCCTTTGAGATGACAGAGTAAACTTCCTTTTTCTATCTTCTTCATTATTTTCATTTTCTTTACACAATTTCACCAAATTATGGCTGTGATTCTTTGGTTTAATACATTTCGCTGTCTCAAAAATTAAAAAAAAAAAAAAAACAATGGTGAAGATCAGTCTTGGTCAAACTGATGATTGATGTTTGAGCTTTCAAATTTAGTGGTTACGATCAGTGTCACGGTCCAAGAGGTCTTCCAAACCATCTAGGCTGTAGCTAATCAACCTGCTCGCCTATATTCTTAAGCCTTGTCCCACAAGCCAGGAAGGTAAGACGAACATTTTCTTATATGTGAGGTACCTGCCAATGCAAGCAAAAAAGGCTTGCCATCCTCAAAGCAATTGGAGTTTGGTGAGAAAAAAAAAAGGGTTCATTTTCACCCCTAAACAAGGCTTTTCCTTGGCTTCCTTTAAGCATTACCATCACCAACCAGGCAAATTAGGAAAAACCTTTCACACATTATTAAATTCCTCCATGGTAATCTCCCCGAGGTTGGACCAATACCAACAATGAGAAAATTCTGCTGACATTTGGGCATTTATTTAATGAAGGGTATTTTAATGATGAGATGAATAATTGAATATTATATATAACATTACATCTATTAGGCTGTATTGGGTATAAATATATGGCTCAACTTCCTTCAAAGAAGCTGAGGGAATGATTCATTGTAATAGCAGATTATGAATGCTAACAGTGGGAGTTCAGTTGAAGTATCAATGCTTTGCTATTGTCTTTCTTTCAAAGTAGAGATGAGGCAGATCACAAGGAACTTGCTCAGTTTCAGCGTCAGATCCTAGGGAAATCAGTTTTACTACTTGCTTATGGGCGTGACATGTAGTGGAGTTGCTGCTTTTTTCGTTCAGGAAAAAAAATTCTTCAGCTTCAAGAATAAAAGAGGTTCAAATGTCAATGCAGCAGCAATGGACAAATCAATATTCGGCCGTTACATGACAAACCTTTTCTCTTTTTTTTCGTCTGCTGTCGTTTTAAACAAATGATAAATTAATATCAAGGGTCAAGAAAATAATAATAATAAAAAGAAAACAGTTGCTTCCATTTACCGTTACTTTATCATTCCAGTCTGATGCAGAAATGAAGTATTGATGAAATCAGCTGAAAGCTCCTCCCTGCCTTGATAAATCTCTACTATAATTTTCACTTTGGTTTTACAATTATTTTGTGTTCTTTGAGTTTTGATGCGTTCAATATCCTTCTTTCATGACAACAATGACTTAACTGAACTCCTGAGGGTTGATTAATTATTGAAATCTAATGCAAAAGATGTCTGAAGGGTATAGCTTCAAATCTTTAAGGTCACAGGAGAAACTTCTTGTAGAATTGATAAATCCACGCCTTACAATCCAGTTGGTAAGGAGAAAATTTCCTTTTTTTTTTTTTTTCTGTCAATCAAGGTTCGGTATTTGTGAAAGTTACTACCCCTAATAATATTACCAAAAAGGAAAAAATCATAGTAAATTTTACATTAGCAATGCTAGCTAGAGAAAAAAAGGTTACTACCAATGCTTTTGTCATAAAAATTATATAAATCTTTAGAGAACTGATTAGCATACTCCATTTGTCCATTGTTGGTATGTAACTTGTTTTCTTTTTTTGACATGAATTTCGGATTCTCGAACTAATTGGAGAATTAAGAGGCACCTGTTTAGCAAAATAGAGGACATGACATGAAGAAAGACTCAATCATGCGCTAACTTTGAGGAAAGACACCACCATTGTTCTTTAGAGGACATGACATGAAGCAATAAGAAAAATCAATAACTCACGAGGAAGACAAGATACAAAATTTCTCTCCCTTAATATAACGGTAGAAATCTTAAGATAGAAAAAATGCGGCCAAGGGAAATGAGTCCAGCCTCTTCCAGCAAAATTGTCACTCAAACAGAACCCTAAAAAACATCAGGTGAGATGGTACATGTACAAATGGGGGTGACAATGAGGGAGGGGTTGGGGAAAAAGATATAAAACAATTATCCCTTTCCTAGCTGAGCAAGGTATGCCTTGTCTGCACTCGCGAGACGATTCTGAAACATAGACCACTCATTTTTGCACCTTGTTCTAACCTGTGAATGGAAAAGAAAGAAAGAAGTGAGTCGGCTTAGAGATTTAATATTTTCTTTTTACAAAGAGAAGTTTCAAATCTAAGCAACATTTATGATGTCAGAATTCATATATATGCATACCCCTTCCCAAGGAGCTTTACCATCCTCCGGCATGCCCTGAAATTGGACAGAACTCATAGTAATGAGATTATAATCAGGAAGGCAATGACAAAAATGTTGAGTATGAATGAGGAGCAAGAACATTGCAACAACATGAGATAACGTCAAAGTTGAAAGGGAAGTGCTAGGTGAAATTGTTCCAACAAGTGGAAAAAAGAGTTATTCGGTCAAACTTCAATCAAACAACTCAAAATAACCCTGGGATCCAGTTCCATGCTTACCACCCATACCACTAGATATAGATAAAAAGCTATATTCATATAATTAATAATTCACATAAAACATTTAACGAAACTTTCTTTATGAGAATATGTGCCACAACATCATTCAGCGTTATAAGATAGCCAAAATATCTGGCAAGCTGATAATGACCAACCTGGCTCCCAAGAGAAGGAATTACTTGATGAATAATCCACTGTGAATCTACCACACCAATTTTTTCATGTGCAGGCTGTGGAGAAGAAAATAGTAATTTAATACAATATTAAATAAGAAGCCAGACTGAGACAGTAAACATGAAGCTCTCACTTTTCACAGGGTGTGTTAAGAGAAGGCAGCTTGGCATGTTGTTAAATAGTTGAAAACAAAATCAATCTCACTAGTTCTAACAATTTTTGCAAACTAGCCCCTTTGATTCTTTCTGCATGTCGTTGTCATAATAATGCATTCAAATGTTGCTAATTTTTCCAAAGAAGAATTTCCATAAAGAGTTCGTAATTCTGAAGTATATTAAAATGCTCTGATTCTCCATCTAGCAAAGATTTCCACAGGTTCTTATTGTGTTCCCCAAAGAGCAGTCAACATTGAAAAGGAAATGGCAAAAAGAGACAGAAACAACCGACCTCAACACATCTTCTGAGGGCAAAATCCAATCCCCATCCATGCACCAAATCATTCTACAAGAAAATGATCAGTTAAGCATTTTGGTAGTATAAAAAAATGAAGGAGCTAAAGAAATTGAACCAAGTTACTAAGTAAATTTCTATCAAACAGAGTTGTAAGCTCCTAATCCATATCTTTGTTTTCCTTCCATCATCTGAGAAGTTGAGAATGGAGGGAACTCATCCTAAAAGGTGCTGGTATATGAGCCAGTTCATAATTTTATTTTTCCTAGATAACCTCATTTAGGAACTAATAAAGAGTCCATCTATTAACAGTTCTCTTTCGATTTAAGTAACCTATCTAGTCAGTTAATCTGTGAGCATGTAAATATTCTAAACAATGTGGCCAAAGTCCACAAAATCCTTAAGCACACTTTACCTGAATCATATACCATACACATCGCCAAGCTTCCCGAGAAAATACAGGCGCCATAATTTCCACAAAACTGAAAAAAAGCAAACATTGTTAAATGCACTCAGGGAAAAGGAGGGCATCCAGTTGAAAGAACATTAACAGTGAAGTGCATTACAAATATGCAAATCAGAGATAATGCTCATGCATTGCTAAATATGATTCTCCATACAGACATGATTCCAAATTTTCATAATTTGCAGTCAGTCTAAAATAATGATCTCTGGCCCTTTTGAAAATGCTCAGTAACATATTATGTAAATTTTTGAATTTATAATTTACAAGAATGACAACCTTGCTAAAAATTTGCAAGATACATTGTCTGTGTGTGTGTGTGTGTGTGTGTGTGTGTGAGAGAGAGAGAGAGAGAGAGAGGAGAGAGGGAGAGGGCATACGCAGCACATGGTGGCAAATATGGATCACTACACCAGCCTGGTTTCTCATCAGTAACCAACCTGTGAACCAAGTCAAAATGCAGAACTTCAGAGAAAAAAGAAACATTATTTTTTATGATTGGTAAAATAATTGCCCGTTGATAAGCCAAGAGAGAGAGAGAGAGAGAGAGAGAGAGAGAAAGAGAGTACTTGTGAACTTCTTGGTCACCTCTCCTCTTTGTCATCTGCCATGTCAGTCCATTATTGGGCTCCAAACCAGGTTGTGAGATCTCCAGACCATGTTTCTTGACCAGTTCCATGTATCTGGTAACTTGTGCAGAGAAAATTAGAAAGAAACATAAACGTGTTGAAATTAAGTGAAAAGTATAACTGGTTGAAAAGAGAAACCTCTCTGCATTGAAGTGTTCCACTCCCAGATCTTCATCCCAGATGAAAATATATTCATAAGCAGCAACAACATCTGGATGCAAAAACCTTTTTGCATACCACCTAAAATAGATATATGAGCAGGAATGTAAGAACTGACGGCAAAATTATCATCCACCTGAATGACAACAAGTCTAAGCTAATCTAACAAGCAGTGATTGGAATTCGGAGATGCAAGGAATAGACAAAGGCGTACCATTAAAGAACTCCCTCTAACGAAAAGGATCTGGAAAGATAGAAATTTTGAACCATTCAGAACACTACAATACTTACCATTTCGTTTGCTTCCTCACACTAACATGGATTGCGTTCTTTGACCACTCAAATTGGTCCCATTCAGTTGTCCGGCCATCATAATGAAAAAGTAAAATTTGGAAATCCTCAGAAAACTACCTCAACATGTAAGAATACAGAAGTGTTAGAAGGTCAGGAAACCAGAACAGGAAAAAAAACTAAAAAGCAAAGATGGAATGATCCCATTATCTAACCTTTTTAACACATTTATCAATATTATTCATCTGATTAATACCAACTGTAAATGTCACTAAATACTTTGGTTTCTTCTTCAGATCCTGCAGATTTAAGGAAAATCACGATAAGAGACACCTATTAACCAAGAGTCATAAGACAAATGGAGGTATATTTTAGCACATGGCATGGTGTATGTTTCAAAGCTGAAAATGATAGTGATATAGTGCCAAAACAGCCTTCATGCATCAGAACTTTTCTAGTGGAAACAACATGATAAGCTGCATGTTAAGTTCCTAGTCAGCAAAGATGTTAAAAGAAAAAGAAAGTTCCAGCCTGTTCCAACCATATACTTAGATGGCATTAATAAAGCACCAGCATTATGATGTTTGTATGTAAAGAGTACTTATGTATCATACCTCACTAGGTTCACCCCATAATCTGCGCAGGTAAAGGTCAGATTCTGGAACAACAATTCCTGGAGGTAATAATTCTGCACCACGAGGATTTGTTGGAACATATATCTGGGAAAACACAGAAGCAGAAAACAATTACTAAATTGGATCAAAACCAAGCACCACGCTGTAATTGTGAACAAAGAGCCTTGCTCCACACAAGAAGCTAGAAAACAGATAAATAAGACTCTAGCTGCAAACAAAACTCTCCCTGATAATTTAAAAAAATATATAACTGACAAATATCAATAAAATGCCTTACCCTTACAAATAACAAAACATTATAAGAAAAAAGGGGATGGAGAGTAAGTAGACAGGCACCTTAGGAACATTGACCCCAGTTGTTTCAGGAGATCTGACTATAAAGAATTCTTGGTCATTGGACGTGGGTACATCAAGAGATGATCTAAGGCTTGAAGGTAAGTGAATCTGCAGATATTGAAAACAAATTTTATGGAAGATAGACCTACTGCAACATAGATAGATAGAAATGAAGGCAAACATACCTGGTAAAGGGAAACTGATGGAAATGAAACACCAATAAAAAACCCAAAAACAACTCCAAGAATTGTTGTTATAATGAGCCTCGCACTATCATTTGTTTTCTTTAAAACTCCACTGCAAAGCATTGAAATAGTTTAGTAAAAGGGGCCCTGGAAATTTGTTATCATAAGCGATAAGCCAAGAAAGTTTGGCAATTCAAGACATATAAGAATGATGTAAGGTTCAAAACAATTACTTATGCCACTAATTTCTAATAGTGAAAGATACTAATTAATATGTAAACAATAAATCCTAACCTGCGGTGCATGGTGCCCATATCAGTATGTTCTCTTGCACTTGATTTAAAAGTTTAGATGCCCACAAGAACAGTTATCTCCCATAAGCACCTTCAGGAGCAAATGGGGGCATTCTTCAAGATCACCAAAGCAAAGCAACTCTAATCTTCAACCAAGCTTGGCCTCTGATCAGTATGATGTTTCGAGCTTCAAAATATATAACAAAAAAGCATCAAAATACGAACAAAAGATCTGCAACACTTTATATTTCAAAAGGGTGCTTCAGATTAGACTAATATAATAAATTCGCAGCATTTTAGGCAGCAAGAAAAGAAACCTAGAACAGAAATTGCAATTCTCATTTATTTTGTAAGATAATGCAAATAAAATCAAATCCAAAAACTTACCACACTGTTCAAGCAAGTCACCATATTAGTTGTCGCATTAACTCAGCCAATGATTAAAATTTCAAACTTTTAAAACCAATTACATAGTTCAAGCATGTTATGACCATAATTTACTCTTAGAATGCAATTTACGTCAAAAATTTTAACTAAGAATGTTTGTCAAAACTATTAACTCTTAAATAAAAACTGTCATAAATTATGCTATTTATTATACTGTTTTCACTCTCCAGAATCGCTCCTTTATGGTTTTCCACATTTGAGCTCAAACCATTTCACCAACCCTGATCCATCACATCTTTTCTAAAACCCAAAATGCAAATGACTTTAAAATAACAACAGAACCGCCAAATTACATAGTGAACAGAAATACCCAATTAACCAAAAATTAAAATTTGCATTTAAAACGATAACATTTTTACTATCTGCTAAGAAAAAAAAGTCAAGCCATTTCATATAATTTCTTGATCTGCATATTACAAGAGAAAATTTCCTGATCACATTCGACCACAAACTCAGATGTTTAAACAAACAAAAAAAGTTATCAATTTAAGGGTAAAAAATACTCTTTTTTTTGTAAGGAATGATAATTTAACATTCCAAGATCAAAGCCGAGAAGGAGAAAAAACCATAAACCCAAGATAAAAGAAACTAACTGTACAAAATTTTGTCATCAAGTAATTATTTTTATGAAAAATAATAACAACCCAACAACAAAAAATGTCAAATTTCGACAAGAAAATGTTAGGGTTAGAAACTTACCTGATTTGTTTTGGTTGATAATCAGTGATCTTCTATCACAGAGAGAGAAAACAGCGAGAAGGAAAGGTTTTTTTTTTTTTTTTTAATAAAGTTTTATAGAGTAAGACAGACGAGAGAAAAAGTTACACCTGGTTTTTGTTGCGTTTGGGGGTTGGGGACTTTGTTTTCGCCAATGGGGTGGGGGAACTTAAAAATTAAATTATTAATTAATTTACATTGTAGCGATGTCCTTATGGCACGGATTTAAGAAAAACTTATGAATTTCGTATGGGTATAAAAAGAAAGTTATTACGGTATAAAAGAGTTTACATTATTTTTTTTAAAATAATTTTTATAAGATAAAATTATGAAATTAAAAATATTAAAATAAATAATATATCATAAGAATATTAATCGTAATAAATAAATTAATTTGTGATGTCGAACGAATATATGTATAAATTTTAAAATCGTATGAATTTAAAATTTAAATTTTGACACGTAATATTTATACTTTTTATACCATTTGTTATTATATTATTATTATTATTTTTATTTCTAAATTAAAACTAGGACTTGTAACTATAAAGTGAAGAACTTACTAATAAAAGACTAATTCTAAGGTATTTTTTTATTAATTATATCAAATATTTTTTAAAAAAAATTCAAAATTTAAAACTTGATTTTCTTTGTTCTATTTTAGTGTAATATATATTGACTTGCCTGAATTAATTTTTTATAAATAAAATTTTTTATTTATATTAAAAAAAATAATATTATAATAAGATCGAGTTTAAAAACATATTTAAGATATATAAATAAAAAATAAAAATAATATAAATCTTAAATTATACAAAGATTTCTATTAATATAATCTATCCAAACATATTTTTATTCTTATAATCTCGAACTAAATAGTCTCTTTAATATAATTTATGTGAAAAATATTTTACAAGTTTTTATATAACATGTTGTTCCTCTTTAATATGTTAGTCAGCAATTTGTTTACCACTCCTTAAAAAAAGAAAAAAATTTGTTTAATACAGCAGTGGTTTTTTTAATACATTACTAATGTTAGCAATATATAAATCATGGTTGGTCGAACATCCTTTTGGCATCCAGCAAATTTCATGATTAAATTACCAAAAGCTCCAATAGTTGGCTTGTCAAATGGGAACATTTTATCTATAGCTTGTTAATCTTGTTAAGCTTTATCCTTAATATTAATTGAAAAAAAAATGTCTTTTTTGGAATAATTTAAATCTAAATTACAGTAATTAAAATTATAATAAATACAAAAAAAATCTTGTAAAGAATTATTTTGTGGTACTAGTTTATTAGGTTGGTAAATTAAGTTTGATTTTAAAAGAAGCATATCATCTTATACTATAATTTCAAGTTATAATTTAAGTTGTTACAATTAAGATAAAAGATTAAATTTATTGGTTAATTTGTTTGTTAAATTTAATTCAATTTTTTATATAATTTAATATTAATTATATTATAAATTAAAATTATTTCATCCATTAGTGGAGTTTTTAGTGCCGTCAGCTATTCAATGTTACGTTTGCTTTAAACTCCATGCAATTTGCTTGGTAATTAAATCACTTTAGCACCGATGGCCTTATCAGGGAAGCTGCATTTCCATGGGATGGTGAGCAATCAAATGTCATAATTTGAAAAAATAAATATATCTGCTGTTTAATTGTAGCTGACAAAATCTACCCAAGATTTTGATTTACAAGCTATCCTCAATGACAAGAATGAGATCAGACAGAGAGAGAAATGCTGGTTTTTTCTTTTTTCTTTTTTTACCCTTTATGGAGACAATTGCAATTTACAGCAGAGCCACTTTCGGCTTTCATTGAATACCATCAAATTCTTTTCTTCTCCTTCCATTAAAATGGAATATCAAATCAAGGAAGAAACAATGTTAAACCTTTGTTTCCCACTGTTTCTCCCCTTTTATGGTTCCGGTGGTTGCATATCAACAGAGTATAAATGCTAACAAAAATATTACAGTAGTGATTTTCTTGTTTTGATGAAACAAATAAAGAATAACCAATAACAAACGATTCAATCATAGGAATTTCGAGCATTGCTGTGGCAGACCTGTCACATGATCAACAGTCACAATCTCTGTGGCATTATCGCATCTTAATACATCTTGACCCAACTTGGCTCCTGCTGCCTTGAGCCCCTTCAGTGAAACAGGTTGGTTGAAAAGGTTAAGTGATGGCAACTTTGAGGCTGGAGGTAACTTGCCATTAGGCAACAGGGGTCTGAAATCTTGCTTCAATAATGGGACTTCAAAATCTGCCTTGTCATGCCTAACAACATTGTCCTTTGCACTGATGTGAGCCCCTGGTTCCATATGGTTAGTTGAAAAGCTAGCTTGGTTTGGGAAGTTGGGATAAAGGCTAACATAGCCTCTGAGGTACATCATGTCAATGAGAAACTTCTTCCATGAAGCTTGCCAACCATTTGTTCTAGACTTGGGGATTTGAACTGGATTTGCTTTTGCATTTTCAGTGAATCTCATGTTCATGTAGACATAGAATTCTCTCCAATGCTTGGGGAAGAAAACTGCACCCCAACTACAAGGTAGCTGGTGAAGATAAGGTGTATTTGGGTGAATGCGCTTGAAGAATTCAGTTGGATTCCATTTTGGCCTTTCCTTCACTACTTCAACTAATCGAGGAGTGTAAAGAGAGATCGATGACAGTTCAGGAAGGGATATTTGAGGATCATAATGGTAGGCTAAGAGAGCATATTTAATCCATAGATAGTAGTAAGGAGAGACTTCGATATCGTCCTCAAGTAGTAGGCCATAGTCATCATCTGATGTTGGGTACCAACTCTCACTAACAGCTCGAATGAGCCCCCCTTGAATGATTCTCCTTCTGAAGGTCTTAGGGCCATGAGGCCAAACAAATGAATCTACAAGTTTAATAGTTGCCTCATCCACTTTGCTGTCCATATTGAAGCTGATAGGAATCTCATCTCCAATATAGTATGCATCGGTGAGAGATTTAAGAAGCCTTGTTAAGGACGGAGAACGGTTTTGGGTAATTATGTTGACAGAGATCCTCATCCGGTTCCAATCTGCAATCGACAATTGGCCACTTAGATTATTGCTCATCAGATACATTAGGGGTGAAATATATAAATGACCTAGAGATTATTAAACTATGCATTTCTTGACTCACAAACATACTTGACAGCCTAAAAGGTTTGAACTATTTACTCTTCTACCGCTAGGCTTGAAATTAATTAGAACCGAAGCTACATCACTGCTCTTTTTCACTTGAGTAGGTTGTTTATCTCTAGATATTCAGTTACTATATACATATAGCTCTAAAGAAGAAAAGCTAGTCATTCTTACTTGGCAATGCTGTTGATCTTAGATCAGCCATCCATAGAACCTTTGAGACGGAAGGCCTTGGCAAAAGTACCAGAGCAGTACCATTTGCATTAGTCTCGGATGCCATTTTCAAAGCTTTCTTGACATTGGAATCAATGTCGGTCACTGTGATCACCACACTGGGGTTGTGAATTTTGATCAATCCTTTCATGCTAGAGTATACTGCTTGCAGAACTGGAGCCTCAGAGTTCGATGTTCCTGAAAGTGCTCCGATTTGCAAATCAAAAATCTTAAATCTTCGCTCTTTGCAAACCAACTTTGGCCACTTTAGGGCTGCTGCAGCATCTTCACACGGGCAGAAACTGCCTCCGGAGACTACAATGTAAGCCTTCTTGCCAACAGTAGATCTAAACTTTTCAAGTAGTGGTGCAAGTGCCTTGACCTCATCTATAGAGTGAGCATAAAAGAGAGCATCAATCTTTTGAGGATACATTGCAGCCCATTGAGTTACATAACCAGTAGTTAGTGCCCTCCACCACTGATCATCTCTGACTTGAACTATGTCCTTGAAGATTACGGTGGTTTCTGACACATAAGCAAGCCTATGTTCACTATCACCCCAAGTTTCTTTGTCAGTTGGGTCAACTGGAAGAACAAATGAGCCAGCATTTCTGTACTTCTGAAGCTGATAGCTGCACAAGTTTGCAAAATACTATAGCCATAAGAAGCTTGAAAACTATATGTAGCAGTTTAGAACAGAAAATATTATCCAATCCGTAAAACAGTCTTTTGAATGTGATAAAAAAAATGAGCTACACCTTGATAAAATCACCAGTAGCAATTAGCAACTAAAATTAGCTCTGATTTAAAATCTAATTTTGTTATTCTTATCATCACGACCATCATTCTAGTTCTCCTACTACTGTTTCCACTTCCTCCAGAAAATTAAACATGTAATGTGCAAGTAAATAATTTAGTATAGACAAATCAATGATGCAGAAATATTAGTACGGGACACAAGATACAATATATCCATCCTTAACTGGAACTAATATATAAAATATCCTTCATTTTCTTCAAGAGTTATTACAATAATTAGAAAAGCTGACCAAATCAGTACTAATGAATTTTAGAATGAGTTAACAAGTTTCTTTTATAAAATTAAGTAGATAATTAGTACTTCAATTGCTTTCTGAATCGACTTTCAATGCCTTCACCATATAGATCAGGTTAGCTGCATGGTCAACTTTCACTTTCATTGAGTTGAGCCCTTACTCTTAACATAATCAAATATGTAGTGATCCCTCTGCTATAATCATTTTTTTATCACAATTAACTTAAAATAATGAACAGATTGTTTCTATATTATTGAACAGGTGACCAAACCAAGAAAAGATATTCGATTTTTGTACCAATCAAAACAAAGCCAATTATAGTAAAAATGCTTTTGGACCAGCTGTTTACCATGGCATGGTGACACAATCTGCAAGACCAATGTCTATATGCAAATAAACAAAACAACAATATTCACAAACATGGAAATTTCTAACAGTTTCAGTTGAGGTAAACGTACCTAAGGTGCAGATCTTCACCAGTCATGAATGTGAAAGGTGTCTCAATGAAAAGTGTCTTGACAAGCTCAGAAGATAAAAACCATGAGCTGGAAAGAAAATCCACCTGCACAATTTTATCAACTGTAATATCATAGGCAGGGTCAGGCAAGTACAGCCCTGCCTCCTTTGATCGAAATTTTCTATAGCTGGGGAATGTAAAGTCCTTCTGTCTAAAAGGCAAAATCCTTCCTATGCTGCCTAAAACAGAGTTCTTGTACTT